TCAGTCACAGCAAAGAGCATGTGCATCCTTAGCTCTTATGTGGTAGGAAAAAGGGGCTCCTTCAATCCAAACAGGATCTGTCACTGAGGGCTGATTTAATGCACACATGAAAGACTAAACTTACATAACACCTTCTTTTCAGCAATAAACCCGAGATAGTTTTCATAACACATCAGGGTTTCCAAAGACTGCAGACACAGCTTTGGCTTCAGGAAAGGCACTGTGTGAAATACAGTTTAGGAGCAGTACAGATTTCCCATGGGCTCCAGCACCACCAGCTTGTTTTCCTCGTTCTTTTCCAGCTCCCAGGCTTGGAGCCGGCAGGTCCCTCTACTGCCGGTGCAGGTTGTGTCACCACCACAACGACGAGATATCGACTGGGTCATAAACTATTTATTAGTCCTGGATTGCTGAGGTCACCTCTGAGAGAAGAGCTGGCTGGAAAAGCTCACACACCAAAGCTGAATAGGAAGGGTCTCGTTTAATCAATCTATAAACACCTCTGGTAAGAGGCAATTGCAAGGCAATACATAATTACTGAAAGCTACCAAAAACAATTTGGTAGAAACTCTGCACACTAACGCTGGAAATTACAGCTTTGCAAGGCTGTTCCGTAAATGAGTTTCACTATTAGTAACAAAGTTCATTAATGAATGTATCTAAATCAGGAAAACACTTACAAAACAGACTCATAAGGCACGGGTTTGTTTTGGGTTGTGGCTTTGTTTTGGTTTCTTTTTGCTGTTGTTATTTTGGGTTTTTTGTTTTCCTCCATGAAACCAACAATCTTCTCAAAAAGCCTTTGGCACAACTACTGGCAACAACCCACACCAGTCCTTTCACTGAACCCAAGCAAAGGTGATTCAGCTCTTCAAGTTTCTTCATAGCACTTAATACACAACTTTAATTTCTCTTATTCAAAAACATCAAAGTGTGTTCACAACATCTCATCACTCATTGCAGCTGTTTGGTCATTGATGGCCATTCCCAGACGTGGGATTTTAGAGCAGGAAAAGTAGGAAAACTGAGGAAGTCTCCGAACACACAATGCTTACATTAAGTGCTGCTGTTTCACGTTTTACTGGTGCCTGAATGCTACATCATACTTCAGATCAAGAGAGAAACAAGCAACTTCATTTACTAAAAATAAATTTACGAGGTAGATTAAAAAGTGCATTGAAACTGAGGGGGTGGAAGGATGGAGCAGGGTTAAGTTCTCTAACAACTGTGTATTTTGCCAGTGGAAAAGGCCCCTTAAAACGTATTTAATCCAAAAAAACAATCACTGACCCAAATGCCACAAAACTCCTAAGAGCAACCTACGTGTTGAAATAGTCGTGATTCAGGTGTAACCCCGAACATTCAGGCATGTAATTAGCAGAAGGCTAATTAAACATGAGCTAATTTCCTCCAAAGGAAAGGGTGGGGCAATATGATCTCAGAAAATACAAAAGCCATTAGACAACTTGGGAATTGGGCAAGAAACCCAGCTGCTATCTTTGCTGTGTTCACAGTTTTAACGTGCCCCTTTCTTGCAGTTGAGAAATTCCAGCTACAGCAGTTGTTTCCTTGGATAAACATAAAAAAATGATCCCAAGGAAACAAACAGTCGTTACTGTGATGCCAGACAAGGGCTGAGCAGCCACCTCAAACAAACCACACTGCTGGGGACTGTCATTTGGAGGGGAAATTGCAGCCACTACTTAAAACCTCCAAAACCTCATGGTCACGGGGCTCCAACGCTGCCCAGAGAGCTCAGAGTTTACTCAGCTTGGAGATGTGCTTTCCCCCCTCAAATGTCAGCAGAGGCCTGAAGCTACAGGTTTGTTGGTCCCCATTAAATCCTTAACTCCTGCCTGTAGCCATGAGCACTCAGCTACCAGCAGGAGTAGCACACACTCATGAATTAACACTGTGCCTCACCATCTACACGTGACTCACAACCCTGCTTTTCAATGAAATCACAGGAGACATCTAAAAACTCTTTGCACTCTTTCACTGGCAATTCAAGAAGATGAAGAGGATTAGCTAAAACTTCTAAAATCTCCTCAGAAGCTTCTTCTCCACACTATGTTTTGCCAACGTGTCAGCCACGCTCACCTGGGCACAGATTAAATTTAAGTTGGCTATAACCTCAGAGAAAAACTTCAAAACATCTTATACACTTTAGACCTGACTCGTTACAGCATTTTAGCAGGACTTCACAAGCATAATTTTTAGGTCTAGTTTTAGATCACAAGTAGTTAATCACCTGGATAAAAACCCAAGCATAATTGGGGATTATATAGCAAACATCAAGAGGGGGAGGAGGGAGCTAAGAAAGACTGTTCTATCTTAAATAACACTGCAGAACAAAATTAAATACCAGAATCATGGACTATCTTCAAGCTTATAATCAACAAGTTTGTTGTGTAAAGGGGTAAGTAAAGGGGTCTTGGGAATCGCTATATTTGGCTTTTTATCCTATTCTTCCATTCTATTTTATGTTGTTTTGGTTTTTTTTTTGGTCAGCAAAGCATTCCATTGAGCTACAATTCTCTTCCTAATCCTCCCTGCTGCAAAACACTTGTGTAACCACATCCAGAAGGCCAACACATCCAACTCCAGAGTAAAGCACTGTTCCTGGAAATCACCCCGTCCTTCTATGCTGGTTGGTCATTGGTCTCTAAGGAGTCTTGAGTAACTGGAAAGCCAAGAGCAGCTCAGTGCTCTTCCCAAAGTACTGGTGTGAGGTACTGCCATCACAAAGCACTGCTTCAAAAACAGTTTAGTGACCCTTTCTCCAAAACCATGCAGCGCTGCTAATTCCCAGCACTGGGCCAGATTAGGGCCTCACTCGGCCAAAAAAACCAAAACAAAGCAGTTTAATTTTTCCTCTAAAACCCCCTCAAGCCAACCCAGCTCCACATCACAACGATGCTGCCCCTGCCACACACCAGCAGGATTTAGGACAGCATTGAACCAACCCCTCAGAGAATTTTTTTGTGACTCCAAGCACGTCATTCATCTTTCAATATCTCACACCCTCTCTGAGGGTACAGCCACTCCCTGCTGGAAGGAACAACCTGAACACTACGCAAAGTGCCTCAAAGAGTGACAAACACCCACAAAAGCATCCAAAACGTGCTGCTCAGCATCTTTAAATATTCTCCAGACTTCACCTGGCTTGAATTTAAGGGACTTTGATCCTCAGCCGTGCAGTGAGAAGCCAGGCAGTGGCAATACTCACAGGAAAAAAGCCAAAAAACTCATTGATCCGCAAGGAGCTCATCAGGAAAACAGGCGGGGAGGAGTGGGGGGGAAGGAGAGCATATTGGGAAAGGTATCAGTGACACCTGCTCCTTGTTAACTATGGAAATAGACCCATGGAATTAAAGAAAAAAAAAAAGAACTTCTTTAAAACCACATAAAGTATATTAAAAAAATATAAAAATATTTACATGTAATAAAAAGAAATTAGTTTTAGGAGCTGCACATGGAAGAAGACAAACGCCTACAAAAGCATCCAAAACGCACTGCTCAGAGGCATCTTAAATAAAACTCCCAACTTCACCTGGCTTGAGCTTAAAGGGCTTTAACCCTCAGCCGGGCAGTGGCAATACTCACAAGAAAAAAGCCAAAAACTCATTGATCCACAAGGAACTCATCAGGAAAACAGGCTGGGGGGGCATATTGGGAAAGGTATCAGTGGCACCTGCTTAACTGCTGGAGCACACCCATGGTATTAATATATATACACATATATAATAAAGATTAGTTTTAGGAGCTGCACACGGAGGAAGGTTAAGTTTAGTGTATCCCGACGCTGCCGCCCTGTGGGGCCCGGGGGACCCCCCGCCCAGCCCCGGGGAGCGGGGCCAGAGCGAAGCCCCTCGGACACCGACCCCCGACCCTTATAACGAGTGTGGGCGACACCGGAGGGTCCCCGCAGCCCCCGCACCCGGGGCAGGGCCCGCGGCCCCTCGGCTCTCACCGGCTGCCCCGGGCGGCGGGGCCGTCCCGTCCCGTCCCGTCCCGTCCCGCTCGGCTGCGCTGCTCCCGCGGCCCCGCTCGGCCCGGCCCGGCCCGGCGCTGCCTCCGGCCCTCCCTCCGCTCCGGCGGAAGGGCGGGCGGCACCTCCGGGGCGGGACCGCGCACGGAAGGAAGCGGAGCCCGGCCGGGCTGGGCGGAGCGGCCCCGCCGCCCTGAGGGGGGATCGGAGCCCGGCCGGGCCGGGAGGAGCGGCCCCGCCGCCCTGAGGGGGGATCGGAGCCCGGCCGGCCCGGGAGGAGCGGCCCCGCCGCCCTGAGGGGGGATCGGCGGGAGCGGGAGCCGGGGAAGGGCGAGCGCCGGGAGAGCTGCCCTTGAACGGCAGCACCGGGGCTGTTACACACACGTACATGTTCCTGAGTCCTGGAATAGATCCACGGTTCTCTTCGGCTTCTTGTTTTCCTCCCCTTCCAGCCCAGGGAACGGCTGCCTTCCCTTCCCTTTCTCTACACCCCCCCCCAGGCCAGCTCCTCTGTTGTCGCCCCAAAGCCAGGCCCTGCCCCAGAGCTGCATTTGTGCTGACTGCAGCAAACAGAGAAATAGCCACTGCTATTTCAAACTCACTTCTCCTCCCATTCTCAGTTACCTGGTTGTGGTCTTTTTTTTTCCCCTGCCACACACTGGGTCTCAGTCATCCTGCTGTGAAACAACAGGACAGATGGACAGCAAGGAAATGGTATTTTAGTTACTTCAGAAACATATTTCTGAAAGCAGCCAGCTAAGCAAATCCAGAAACTTTGTTTTCGAGCATTGCACAATCAGGGACGGCTACTGGGACTTTCTCTGCGCTGTGTCACATGGACTGGAGGGAAGGAAACAGAACTGAAATGATCTGACACCAGTCAGCATCCCCGGGGAGAGAGCAGACACTGCACAAATGCCATCTGCTAAGGAAGTGATGATGAACGACTTGGTGCCATTAAAACAGCCCAAGACAGAGACTGGTGTCTTAATTTTCATTTGCAGTCATGCAAAGCAAACTCGAATGCCAGGGAAGGTGAGGAGGGGCACCGCAGTGGCTGCAGACCAGAGGAGCCAGATTCCAACAGTTTTCAGTATAATAATCTTTTATTGCACAACACAAATTTATATCCACATTTTCTTCTATGTGTTTTAAATAAAAAACATAGACTATATATTACCCGAACTGAAAAGTCAAAAATATTAAGAAATAACACACTGCAGTACTCACAGTATTGAACATCACACGTCAACAGAATTATTAACAAAACACATTTGGAGAGAATTCCAAACCCTGATCGTTAGCATCCAGGCTGGATTTTCAAAGGCATTACGGGTTACAATGCATAGACACATACAATTCATAATTCAGCAAAACAAAATCCATTTATAAAAGTCACAGTGAAAGTGGAGGTAAACTTAATACTAAGCTTGTGTAAGTAAAATGACTAAGAACTGCTGTTCTGGAAAGTGATTTCCAGTTAGAGAACTATATACAGGAGATAATAAACAGAGCATAATTACCCTCTGAAATCAGCTTATGTGCAGAAAGATAACGAAAGACTGGAGGGGGGAGGATTCTGTTAAGTGAAATTCTGTTTCCATAGCCCAAAACTCCGAACCATCCTCGGTCCTCTCTGCTGTGTGTGAACGACCTGAAAACATTTTCAATTGTTTACCTACAAATGACCAAAGAGATCAGCACAACTCCAGGAACCACAACTTAAAGCCAGTGGGGTCTATAAATTGCCCAGAGCAAAGTAGTTATTAAATGATGGAAGTGAAAGAACTATATCCCAGAGTTTTATAGTGAGTTCAGAGATGATTTTTCTACAGTCCCTGCTCCAAAATCTTCTCTTACCTGTCCTGCAGTTGTGTCCCAAATGATTACTCTGCTTTGCCATGCAGCAAGATCCAGCTGTGGCATAAAGTTCAAGCAGTGTGACCCTGCAATCCACTGGATTTTCCCACCCTCTTAGCTCCCAGAATCAACAACACAATGAACTCACACAGAAATGACCAGTGGAAGTTGCCCTGAATTCCTGACAGACTGAGCTCACACAAATGGTGCTGAAGGTTCCTGTGCCTCACACAGAACAAGAGCTGAAATCAAGCCCAGAGAACACCCTGCAATGGAAACCACCAGCTCTGACAGGAGCTTTTCCCTGCTGGCACTTCCATCATCTTCCTCATCATGTCACCTGTCCCACGTCATCTATAAAGAAGAATGAGCAGTGAGAATAAAGCTGGGAAGGAGGGTTCCCAGGGCTTGCAAATGCCAAATGAAGCTAGAAAATCATGACCTTTAATTATATGAGTAATTAGATTTTAAGGGAAAAACCCCAAACAGATGAGGGATTGTGCAGTTTATCCTTCAGCTCATAGCAAGCAATAAAAAAGGCTCTCACCCCCCAAAACACAGCTACTTAGGCTGAAGGCATATTCCTATGAAACAGATGTAAGCCCTTAAAAGAAGTAAGTCTTTACTAAAAAAAATAAGAAGAGTGAAATTAAAGTGATTATGCTATAAGTTAGTTTAATTGATTTACTCAGGTATTTTTGACAGTAATAAGGTTTTCACTGATTCTTTAGCAACTATCAGTCCCCATATTGCAATATTAAAACAACCCCTTTATTTTAAAACAGACTAAGCATTCACCTTGCAAACAAATCTGAGGGTGCAGCAGAGAGAAGTAATACATTTCCTGCACACAGAGTTGTACATGTGCAGGGTCAGAGAAGGGGGTGAGGCCCACGGGGGATCCAGTCAGAGTCATTATCTCACTGTGAGTGTTCAGCCCAGACACCTCATCTCCTCATGCCTTTTACACTTCAGCTCACAAAGGGAGATGTGGGGGAGTGTGGATCAGCATCTCACCAAAGTGTTCCTTTAGAGCTAGTGAGGATCATCCCTGGGGAACACACTGCAGAACTAATTCCCTCCCACTTTCGTATTTCCAAAATCCAGCTCAGGCTCAGGACACACCTGAAAATGTATTCCCTGGACGCGATCAGCAACCTCACCGGGCTTCAGACTCCCCTGGGAAAACACAGATACACCGAGAAGCACAGATAAAAGACCTGGCCAACCCCTGACAATACATCCACTGGCTCAAAGCAGATTAGGGTTTAACAAAGCTATTGCTTGGAACAGTTTAAAATATCGACATCCTTCGGTTTGCAGGAATTTTAACAATCACTCAGCAAAGGCCAAATTAGGTGCTTATGCAAATCAGCTCGTTTCTCATAACAGAAGTGTTTGAGTTTTGCCTTCAAGGACTCTTGTGAGCCAGACCCAGCCCTGAGACCACCAGAGCAAAGAATGGAGGGTGTGAGTGGATTAACAAGCCCTGATTCTCTTAATGACTCATTGTTGAGAATCAAGGAAGATTCCTGGTTTTCCTGTAACTACAACAGCCTTGACTTTTTCCTACATCAAACGCCTTTGGGATGAGTGATTTTACAAAATGAGGGCAGGAGATATCTAAGGCATAAGCTGGCTTATCAGAAAACCAGTGTTTAACTCAACCCTTAGCACTCTTGCTAGTTTCAGGGGAGAATATTACAAAACTGAACCACAAAAATCTCAAAAATATTCACATTAACAAGTTCAGGTATTTGCATATATTACATCATGAGGTGTCTCCCAGGCAGACTTCCTAAAAACTTTTAAAAATCCATCAAAAGGGGGTCATGCAGAACTTCCTGCTGCGATAACTCACTGCTTTTGTTACTCAGGTAACTAAGACCTGAAGTGCTCCAAAACAAACCAGAGAACTCACACCCTCACCAATGCAGAAGCTGATCCCTCATTATAGGTTTTGGTTAAAATAAGCTTTAAAATAAAAATAAAACCTCAGCAGTCTCAGAAGAAAACATGCACCACGAGGACCACAGAGAATCTGTTTATGGCTCAAAGGCTTCCCAGATCAAAGCTGGCAGCACCTTCACTGTCCTCCAAGGAGGATGGAAGTTCACCAAGGAGTATTTCAGATTCCTATGTAGGGTATTGGGTATTCAAGTTCCACACCAAGCTCAAAAGTTATTGTTATTTTTTTTTTAAGCTCTTGAAATCAATAAAGTGGCTGCTGCACATAAATATATTTCCAGGTCATTTAGAGTGATTCACAAAGATGAGGTTTTTTCCTTCGTTTTTAAATTTTCCTTTTCTCACCCTTCTTATTTTACAAGTGTAAAACAGATGCAGAAATACTGAATGTGCTGTGGAATTGGCCAAGTCATTTAAGATGAGACCTGATAATTAGACCTCCCTTTGCTCCCTGTTAAAAACCACTGCAGAGTGGATTCCAGAGGGAATGTTAAACGTTCCAGAGGGAATGTTAAAAAGAATTAGTCTTGTCATGTTTTTTTCATACACACAGCAACATAAAACAGCAGCTAACAATTCTAATTTTAAATAAGTATCCCCCAACTGTCCCACCAGTATTGATAAAAGCAGAATAATCACTGCAATCCAGATATGTGATCTGGGCTCTGAAAATATTTCAGACTTATTTGGGGGAGGAAAAAAAGTCAATAGTAATATGTGTGTTCCTGTGTATCAATTTGGAACTAAAAATGGAAAAAAGGGCCTGTATCCAGTCTCAGAATATGAAATAAAAAAATGTATGTCCTTCAAACTGAATCAGCTAAATGGACATGCACTGTCCTTCTAATGATCTGCAAACATGATATTCACAGCAAGGTTATATTGATGACACCAGACTATTTACTGTGCCCAATTTGTTTCCAGTGCCAAACACAGGGATTTGAGAGTGTGGGGGTGGAAAAGTAGCTTTGTAGATGCTAAAGTGGCAAAAAAGCCAAGAGGAGCACGGAGAAATAGGTAAATATGTTGTAGCAAACCTCTGGCCTGGCTGGATATAAAGAAAAGCCCTAAAGGAAAAAAAAAAAAAAGCAGTATTCCATAGGCATTGAGTTTAATCAGACAATTCTAAAGCATCCACGATGTACAAAAACATCAAGCCCGTTAAACATGGATTTAGTAGATCAGCTACTCACATTTCTGTTGCAAATGCAGGATTTCAAAAGTTATGCTACACGCCAAGAAAAGTCAATAATGTTACATAAAGCAGTGATTAGATTCTACTCCCCTGCCATCCTCCTGCACAACTCCTCTGCTTCTGTCAAAAAATGAGCACAGATTAGGCAAGATCATCTAAATCGTTGTAAACAAAGACTGCTTAGAGCAGGGGCAGTCAATAAAAATAGGGTTAACCTGCCCAAATCACAGCACAGAACGGATGTGTTTAATGAAAGCACGTGGGCTTAAATCCATGTTTTCCTTCCCATTATTGCACTGAATGTCTGCTGCCTCCAGGAGGATTGGAAGGATGAGAGCTTTGATTAAGATGCAGCTGATGCAGACCAAGATTTTCATTTTATCTTTTTGGGTCGGTAGTTTTCCTTAGTTTTTTAAAGCAATGAACAGGGAAAAGTAATAAAATATCAGCATGTGCATATTAAGAAATAGCAAACGTGGTCAAAACAGGGGTTTTGTCGTCACAGCTTCTCTGTAAAAACAGTGAGAAAACTCTTAAAGCCAAACCAAAAAACACACTGTTAAAAATCAGACTGTGTCCTGTTTCTGCAAGTGGTGCTGAAATTCAAACCAGAGTTCTGTCCTGTGTAAATACATATATGGGAAATGGCAAAAAAACCACTGAAACCCCCCCTTAAAACTGCAATTCTCGTTGTAATCCCTAAATAAACTATGCTGAAAATCCTGAATTTAAATGTCTGAAGTGGACAAGCAGCCAAAAGTTTGTAAGCCTCAACTTTAGGATCTTACGTAATTTTAGAAGAAATTGTGGTTTGCAGTTTTAAGATTCCCTGGGAAAAAAAAAATAAAATGAAAATAAATGAAGCCAGCAAAGCAGCAAAGAAACCAAGTTCCTCTCATTGTAGGGAAGCTTTACTAGTCTCAGTTTAACTCTTAATTTTGGGTCGCCAAACACAAGTACAAGAACTTGTAACACAAAGGCCAATATTTAAGAAAACAATTAAAACAAACTTAAGATCCAAATGCCGTTTCAAGCTCTGGACTTGAAACTCAGCACTTGACAAGGAGCCTCTGTAAGTAAACATTTGCCAAGAGATCATTAGAGCCCCCACTACAGAGAGACAATTTACTAAAAATTGCTAAATTAAGTGCCTGAAAGTGTGACAATGCAAACAATTCGGCTCTTTTTTTGCAAGACAGTTTGACCACAAGGTTTTTAGAATTATACTAAAAATTACCTCAGGTGACTAAGAATTTTGATCCCTGTAATTAATGTGTTTCTTAAGCGTTTTGGTCAAAAGCTTAATTAAGCAATATTGTTGGATCATCTAATCCAGTGGAATGCAATATGCAAATATTTGCTTTTTCTCTCTCCTTAAGATTATTTGGAAGTCCCTTCAAGTGGGGTATTTTAGAAAAACAGCTGAGTTTCCTGTACCTCACAAAACATTAATATCTGCAGACGTTTAAATCTCCCTTTTGGTTTTGGACATCAAGTAATTCAACTTTGAGATGTGGTTACTCACGTCAGAAGTGCAACAATTGCCTTCTGAAAAGAATGTGATTCTGCAATGGCTGCCTCTTTTGGCATGGAAAGGGATTTATTACCCAGATCTACTGATTTATAATTGGAGAAATATTTGAATAGGAAGGCTGAATTTTGTTTTTCCTTTATGACACCAGGAAGGGTCAACCAGAATGATAAAAATAAGAATTAATTGTCTGAAGAAGGTGTGGTGAAGGAAGCACTTGTACAGTATCATCTGACTTTAACTCTAGAACAAAGTTTAAATATCACAGAATGTAAAAAGAGTCAGTAATAAAATAATATACATTAAATATTCCTCTTACTTCTGCTAATAGGAACATACATATAGGGTTTTCTCATTTACCAAAAGCCTTTGTAAATGACCTGATTCTATAGAGCTTCTTTTTTTTTTTTTGTAGATATTGTAAACATTTAGAATTTCTAAGGCTAAAAACAGGCACAAGTCTTCCATGGACAGTTATTATTCCTAAAAGCATTAAGGAATATATTCCAAATCTGCTATTCCTTGTTATAACAATAATAATAATTGAAATATAACATTATAATTCACAATGTAGATTCTTAATTAAAAAAGAAATACACCTTAATCCTGACAACAATTAATAATATATAGGGAACACTCCTTTTTCCCCCCTTTTTTAAATTATCTATTACATCAAAATTACATTTCCAGAATCTTTGTGCTGGCTGGGTATTACTCAATTTTATAAAGTGGTAAGTTTAAGTAGGAACTAAAACATCTCTAAGTGGGTAAAGCTGAACCACATGTCAGCATTATTAGCACCCCAGCTTCCCAATAAAGCAGGAGAGATCTGCAATTCCATTCTGCAGACTGGGATACTAAAACCACGTGGCTGGGGGCACCTTTTAGAAGATGTCAGACACTCCTCTCCACCACTTCCATGAGGTGATTTTTGTGTGTTGTGCCTCGTTAAGGTACCTGAGCCAACAGTCTGATGTCAGGCTGGTTTTTCAAGATTCCAGAGGTTCTTTAACCTCTGCACCAGGTTCCCTTTGCTGGGCAGCTCACTGACTCCAAGGAATGTTAGCAGCAATGCATTTCCAGAGACACGTTGCAAAAATACCAAAAGCAACCGACCGTCACCTAGAAGTCCTTTTATCCCTCGCGCTGTCCCGGACAAAACAACTCACCACCAAGTGATCTTGAACTCATAGATGGGCCTCTTGCAGTAGTAGTGGTTGATGAGGTGTTTGTCACACACCCCGATGCACTGGTGATCCACAGTGATGCCCCTGTCAGACAGGTCTGTCACGATACAGTGCAGCAGGTCGTAGACGTCGGCCACGGCCTCCCAGGGCCCAAAGGACACATCCACCTCACAGTGGTGCTCAAACAGCTTGGTCTCGCTCTCACTCCTCTCAAAACGCAGGGAATTGAAGTGGGGGCACTCGTAGGGAGTGATGGGCATCTCCTCTTTGAAGACACAGACCTTCAGTTTTGCAAATCTCGCTTTTCTCTGCATGGCCCGGAGCTTTGCTATTTCGATTATCCGTTCCAAGTGATCTAAAAAAAACCAAACCCCAGAACGCCCAAAAATAGAGAATTACAACGAAGTGTCAAGTAAAAGAGATCAAATGCAACTATTTCACGTGAAACATATTACTGCAGTGTTTGATGAGTTATTCTCAGCCTAACAGGAAACTGCATGTAGCAAAACAGACAGCAATCAAATCAATCTCAGTTATCTGGTGAACTTGCTGTCCTTACAATACGCCCAAGTTTATTCAGCTGCAAAAGCAGAGAAACCCTCTCATTTAATAAGCCTTGCATGTTATGGCCTAGATATTGCTCCTTCCTAAATAAAAATCCACATCCTTGTAACAAATCTGATGTGGAGACCTCACAGATCTAAACAGCATGAAAAGGACATAATGAACTCCTCAACTGCAGCGGAATTAGCTTGGAAGCTGAAAGCAGACCGAAAGCACAACACTCGAATCACACTAGAAGAAACAGTCAACACTACTTCATTTATTTACCTTTGTAATATGGCATTAGGCCCAGGAAAGCTTGTCTAACTTTTTCTCCTTTCAGAGGCTGGATATCCTCTAGATTGTCTAGCAATGGTCCTATGGAATAATACTGAGCTTCCTTGTAAACTGACCTCACTCGTTCTCTTGGTGGCAGGTCACCAGAGCGTAGAAAGTTAAGTATGTCTCTAAAAAAAAAGGGCAAAAATATTATTAAGGAACACATTTCTGCCAAAACTGTTGCAGGTGGTAAAAGAGAGGAAATGCTGGATATTTATTGTTTACTCTCTTGAGACAGAAATCCTTATGTTTAGACAGTAACTGAAACAAGTGATCCATATTCCCAACATCTGGTTTTAAAATCATTTGCCACGTTCAAGTTTCCAAGTCACCATTCCATATTTTGCCCCTGTTAATGTCAAAACTCATTCAAAAAAAACATAATCATATTTTAAACAAAAAGTTCAATGAGGAGGAACCACTTCAAATAGAAGAGGATACAGTATTCCACGGGAAAGAGATTGTAGTCACTGTATTTCAAATTTAGGTCTGTGATGAAATAATATTTTCCTAGAGAATTATATGCATGGACATTTTATCTCACACAGATCCAGGATTGTATCTGAATGGATGGTTCACCTGCAAAGGAGGTTTCTCTACACAGGCTCAGGGCCATATACAGAATAAGAATTTTAAAAAGAAGAGAGAACATTTCCTTGCAGCTCTGACAATGTTATGTGACAAGATTTTTTAACAGGGAAAGAAATCACTTTGTAAGTATTAACTAACAAAACTATTACTGACCTTCCTTAAGAAGGAATCTTGAAGGTGAAGGGATGTGGCACTACCAGCAAAAATAATTTTAAAAAATAAATTCTTTGAGGCTTGGGCTTTTTTACCAGTTCTGTTATATCCTGTTTAAAGACTGAAAATAACATGCTTTCAACTGTGTAAGAAAGCTAGATGCATTCCTTCCATTCCTTCTTTATCCTAGATACTGTAATATCAATTGAAAACCAGTGCTGTTCAAAGGAGCTTCCTATGTAAAGCAACACCAAACACATTCTTTTTTAAGACATCAAAACAACTTAATACCTTGAAAGGAGACACTCTAGAGGAGACAGTGTACAAATACAAAATGTTGGTGGCTTTTCCTTTCCCATTGCATAACTTGAGAGTAAAATGAATAGCTGTTTAATTGCCATATACTATTGTTATGTTTTGAGGGTGTGGATGCCAGCCAGTCACATTTACCTCCCACACAAACGGGATTTCACCAGAAGGAAAATAAATGTTAAAAAACTTATTTTTCTCGAAACCTGACTTTCTTCAGGAAGAACTCTGGAAGCACTGGGGACAGTGCACATACCCAAAGTAGGTTCCATCTCTGTCGATGAAGTACCTGCCCTCAGCATCCGTGGGGATGTAGTGCCTCCCGCTGAACATGGCTGCCAGCATGGTGTCCTCGTAACGCCTCAGGGTGGACAGTCTCGTGGTAAAGTACATCCCTCCCACGTTCAGGGGGACAACTTCTGGAAACTGCAAAAGCAATCACATCATCAGAGAGGAGCCTCCAGCCTTTTGCAGGGTTGCAGCTTCCAAAACACAGCATGCGGTCTTGTGACAAACTCCTCTTCCCTGTCCTGCTGCCACAAACCAGACAGGTTTGAGGGTTAACAGCTCGGATACTTTGGCTTCTGGGTGGAATCAATGAGTGGTTTAATTGTAGCTGGAATCTAAAACAGCAGACTCCACTCAGCTTTAATGCCAGATATTAATTTAAAGTATTAACGCCTCCTCTTGGCTCCCCACCCTTACACAGAGACAGACACACATGCAGAGGGAAAAAAAAAAGGGAAGAAATCTCAGGCCAGCCTTGGGACTTGCGCTCAGTTGCTACTCTGATGGTTTCTTTACACTGCTAAACCATACACTAAAAATCCCCAGTGATTTTGTATTTACATCAGGCCTAAAATCTTAGTATTACACTCCAAGACGCCTGAAGTACCAGAATAAACACTTCATTGTATTTCTCAACTCCAAACATGGATGGAACTTACAACTAAAGCCGCCAAGCAACTGAAACAAATTCAAGAGACTTAGTTTTATTCAAACATTTAGCTGCTAATGGAAACTGAACTGGGCATCCACAAATAGTCCAGCAAATAAATCCTGGATTCTTTGGCAGCTGAGCAGTGCGTGCTGCCATCACTGGACCTTGTCAGGTGAGCAGCACCGGGGAGCTCTTACCTCCTGGGGCAGCAGAGGTAGAGCTTGTCCTGCCTGGGTTGCAGTAGGAGTGGCCGGCTCTTGGAAATCATCCTCTGCATCCGAGCTCGACATGGCATCATCCGGGTTTCCGCTCACTTTGTTCTGCCCCGTAACTACCACCATCCCTCTGGCTCTCGGGAGCAGGTCTGCTGGGTAGGCAGCCGTGGCACTGCTAAACGGGAACACAAACCCCGGATCACCTCGGGCTGCCCCCGCCAGCCGCGGGTCGGTGCGGGCGGGACGCGTCGCTCGCCGCGTCACCCCGAGGGCTCACAATGGCATCGCTGTGGCCGGGAAATGAATCACGGCACGGACGGGACCCACACCGGGGGCTCGGGCTGTGCAGGAACGCGCTGGGCAGAGCTGTCCCAAGGCCCTCCAGCCCCGGAGCCGCCGTCAGTGGCTGGGTAAGAGCCCGGCATCCATTGGCTGCACAGTGCAGGGAGCGATTGGCTCCGCCGCGCTTTTGCAGGAAAATGTCATTTGCTGGGTGGATTTGGGTGGCCGCTGTCCCAGCCTGTCCCTCGCCATGGGCGGGATGCAGGAACACGTCCTGCCATTGGCCCCGCGCCGGGCGACACCCGCGCTCCGTCTGTCACCTTCAGCCGCTCGCCGGGAGCGGGGACGGGCACGGGCAGGGCTCCGCTCAGCATTCCCTGGCAAATTTTCCAGTTGGGGTTTCTAACCAGCCGGAGAAAACTGATGTCTCCGTGCCCACCGCATCACATCTCATCGCACATGAACGCGCCCATCTGACACACATGTATTTAATTCTGCTTATTATCCTGCGCATTTACTGCTAATTATCCATTTCCTTTCCGGCACAGAGCAGGCTTTCACAGTCCACCTTCAATCTCAGGACGGGATGGACTAACCAGCTGCACTATGAAAATAATAACTGAAAGAGCAGAGCAGCAAAGAGGAGGAAACCCTGCTGCTCCCTCTACGCTGCATTATGTAAAATCCCTGTTTCCAGGAATGCTGTGGTGCCTCCAAGCAGCATCACAACGCCATAACAAAGGCATCACCGCTAGCAGAGGCTTTAGCTCTAACCCTGCAAGCTCCTTCTCTGAAATCACTACGAAATATAAAAAGAGAAGGATTACTCGCACGAGTACATCTGGTGCGTTTATTTATTGGCTAAACAAATGTTTCATAAAGGGTGCTTCCCATCAAAATCAGCAAGAAGAAATGACATAAAATTTTGAAAGACACGATCAATTATTCTGCCTGTATAATTCTGCTAATACAGTGCATTGTGCACATCATCAGCCCGTCTGTAGATCTCAGCTCTTAAAGGAAATGCTGCAAGTTCAGAAAGAACCCAGACAGACCCTGGATGCTCCTGGGCAAAACAGATACTCTGTGGAGAGCTGATCAGATCACAGTCTCCACGTTCTGAGGGAGTGTTCACAGCCTGCTTTTACCAAAATTTGGATGTGAATTCTACACCCTGTTTAGCACCATAATAAACACAGATAAATAGGTACCCTGAAGTGTCAAACATTCCGTTTAAGCTGCAGCTCGTTAAGAGGTTTGGCTCAGCTTAGGACAGGTATTTAACTTCTCTTCTCTACAGTTTATAACCATTTTTCCACCACAGTCCAATGCATAGGCAGAAAAATAAGGCTTCTCAATGTCCACACCCTATTAGCAATTTTAATATTTGTCCTGAAACAACATTTGCTCCGACATTATCAATTATCAAAACAACTCAACTACGCCTCACAGATAAAGAACAGACACAACATAAATGAAATATTATTTTGGTAGGGCTCCTTTAAAGAAGTAAACAAATTATCACCCAGAAACAGCTTGCAGAAGCTTCATTTATAAGATGCACAGTCAAAATTGAGTGAGTCTGTATTTACTGTGAATGTATTATTTATAATGCTGTCACTTGACACCAGTGCTTTGCCTGCTATTTCCAGTTCTCTTAAGACTCAAGATTGTGTTCTGTAATTGTCTACATTTTTCAAGAATGTCCCATATATTTCACTTAAATGGATCATCCTGTGAGTAAACAACATTCAGCTCCATTAAGTATATGGGAATCATCGACCACAGAATGTGTTTGGGGTAAGTTCCTCCATTTGGCACTGTACCAAAAAGGGCCCCTTTCCTACCAGAACTAGAGGTTTGAGAAAAAGGAATTCTTCCTCTTTCGTGATCCTCCTTCAACATGACACCGAGGTTTAAGAAAAAAAAAAACCATGAGAGAGCATACCTTAATTCTCTTACACCCAGGAGTAACAGCCTCCTTTGCCATTGGAACATTCACACAAACAGTGCCCTCAACAGCGAGGTTTGGCAGACAAGTTCTCGGCCCAGGATTTCAAGATTAAGTTTAGTGGCAGTAAAATGAAGAGATTAATCACTGACAAGTTTAACCTGTTTTTTGACCTTCATTAAAAGGTGACTGAAGTCCTTCTCTAGGTTTGCTTCACCAGTTCACCCCCGGGCACGGAGCAGTGGAACAGTGGAGTGGTGACAGGAACAGTGTCTCCCTGAAAGAAAAACAGAAGCTGATCACTGCCCAGTTCTCTGACAGACACTCAGTTCTCTGCATTTCGTGAAGAATAAGCATCCATCTGTATCATAAAATCAAGAATGGTTTGGGTTGGAAGGGACCTTAAAGCTCATCTTGTTCCAACCCCCTACCATGGGCAGGGACACCTTCCACTACACCAGGTTGCTCCAAGCCCCATCCAACCTGGTCTTATCCTCTTCTCGCCACTTGCAATAATTATTTTTAATTATGCACAAAAATATTCCTTTTGTTAAATCTCTCATTAAAGTTACAGGGTTTGTTTTATTTATTTAAACTAACTAAATGCATCTATTTCATTTTCAAATATATCTGAGTGCAGATCAACAGACAGTTAATGAGAAGGCATCATCAATGAACAAAATTATTAAATCAAATATTTAACTGAACCAAGGTCAGCAGCATCCAACTCTACCACAAATACTTCCTGCCAGTCCTTCTGCCTGGCATTTAAATGCAGAGATTGCTTCCTGGAGCTTTTTTATGGACAGCTCAGATACTGTCACACACACCCCCACCCCCCAAAGACATCTCAGTAAATGAACTGGCCCTGCCAGTCTGGCTTCATTCCCCAGGGAATGATGGCAACCCTAGAGCTACATCGAGTTGGACTAGATAGTAAGTCAACAAAACTTTTCAAGGCTCTGCTGCTCCCTCAGCTTTTCTGTACTGGTTTAAACAACCTTTTCTTAAATACTTTGAGATTACACGAGTGTTGGCAAAGTGACACACCTAAAAAAGCTACATATCCACAAAAAAAGTGACATAATGATTACATGGTCAAAGTCTTTTCTCAGTAAGGTACTGATGTATGAATCCATCCTAGGAGACTCACACAGACTTCAGTTCAAAGCTAACTCCTTGGGATGTGCTTGTTTTGAGGAGATACCAACTGGATTTTAGGAAGGCTCCCCCTTTTTCAAGAGAAACTGGGTCCCTGTGAGGTCACAGAATGAGATGTCACTTAGCAGTCTCTCTGTAGCTATCTTCAAAAGACTCAGATGATCAAAGGTTTGTGTGAACACACTGGGACGAGACATGACATCCAGTAAATTATCATAAATCTGCATCAGAACAGTGAAGGAACACCCTGAAAAAGGGGGCAGGATACCTGAGCTGCAGTAAATGGTATTATACATTGGACTGTAAAATGCTGGACATTCTCAGCACCTGCAGGCATGAGCAAAAGACAACACAGAGTATGATGAAGGGATAGTGTAACTTAACCTTTGCAGCAGGGAGCAGAGACACGGTGTATGGGTGTGTACGATGGGACCCTCCATCATCAATGACTTCCAGGGCAGCAGCAGGACAGCAGGGAGACCTGACTGGGAGCTGCGAGCAACCAGTGGGTAAAGGACACTGGGGCTGTACTCGCTGGTGGCTGGCACTGCCACCTCACAGAATTCCACAGCTTTTAGAGCCTGGAGCCGCTCCGCAGTCCAAGAGCCGAGCAGAGGCATCACCCACGACCGGGCAGCACAGCCCCCAGGCGGGCTCAGGTGGGTACACCAGGCGTCCGGCGAGTAAATCAATAATTAATTAATAAATAAATAACTATTAACTGTCACCTAGAGACTTGCTGGGGCCTCCTGCACAGTCTGAACGGAGTGCCCGGACGCGGGGCAGCGGCCCCCGCTCCGTCCCCCTCCCGCCCCGCGGCCCCTCCCGCCCCTCACCTGAGCGGCCCCTCCCGCGCTGCCGCCGGGGGTCGGTAGCAGAGCCCCGGCTCCGGGGGGGAACAGCGGCCGCCGCATCAGCCTGGGGATGGACGGGAGGGGGCAGCGGGGCCGCCTCTCCCCGCCCGCCCTCACCTGCCCCGGCCCCGCGTCACGTAGGGCCCATCCGGGTCCCGCGCGGGCGGGGCCGGGCCCGTCCCCACACGGGGGGCGGCGGGAGCGCCCCCCCCCCCTCCCCTCACGGCCCCGCCCGGGGCTGCGCTTCGCTCCTCGATCCCGCGACGCCCCCCCCCCCCCCCCCGCCCCCCCCCCCTCCCCTCACGGCCCCGCCCGGGGCTGCGCTTCGCTCCTCGATCCCGCGAGGAAACGCCCCGCGGGTAATTAATTAGCCGTGATTAATTGCCGGAGAGCACCGGGAGCACCGATGGCGGCTCCGCGGCCGCGCTGCCCCCGGCGGGCACTAGGGGAGGCCCCGGGATCACTTTTGAGAACGAGCCGAGGGTGAAGGAGCTGGGAAGTGTCGAATTCACTTCTTCCCTGAAGGCACTTTGATATCCTTCACTGGTGCTCGCGGTGGTTTTAGAGACACACGTTAATTATGTCATCTGGAGCAACAAAAGGAATGGAGGGAAATAAAAAAAAAACAAACAAACTGTTTCAGAGTCGAAGAGGCAGAAGTTGTGGAAACACAAGTATTTTTGAAAGAACTTCTCTTAAAAGCAGTGGGGAAGGCTGAGCCCACCTTCAGCATCGTGAGCCACTGAGGTGAACAGAAAATGGGACAAAATGAGGCAAAAAACACCTAAAAAATACCTTACTGGAATAATCACCTTCCACGTTGTATCCTAAAGTTTTGATAACAGCAGGGGTCAGCAGCAGTTTCACCCCAGCAGCACAACTCTGAACACAACGGCTCTGGAGGAACAAATTCGAGAGGCTAAAAATTACCTTCATTCTCCTGCAGTAGAGAAATCTCATGTTACTTTCTTTGTAACTCTCAGTGGGACACTCCAATTTACTTTCTCCTCGTCACCCAGCTATTAAAAGCAAACAAAAAGCATCGAATTGCAAACCTTAAAGAGAGACCCAGACCCAGGACATGAGATCATATCTCCCCTCCACTAACGCATCAACATCTTGAATTATTAAAATCTTAACTCCAAAGCAAAAATATTAATAAATAAATAAATGAAAATCACATTTAAAGCATTTATTTTGAAAAATAAAATACAAAAGATCATTGAATTGTAATTATACATGTAATTTATCAACTTTTTTTTTTTAAATAAAAGATATTTAACAATTTCCACATATGAATAAGACAGACAACTGTTCCACCAGAAATCTTTTAGGACAAGCACAGACCATTCTTGAAAGCTTCATACATTTAAAACCAAACTGCTACAAGAAACAAACAAACAAAATCTTTGAAGATGGAGCTTTGTAATTAAGACAGAAGAGCAATTTCAGAGAGAGGCATTGCTTTGCATTTTTTTTTAAAACCTTAAAAAAATAGTTGTGCGAATGTAATACAGTTCTACATCAACATCAGTGTTTTTTATTTTCTTTAACAGGTTTACATGCGCTCACAACAGCAAAATTTCGAACAAAAACAGTATGAAAGAAACGGGAGAGAAAATTCTGAAGGAAGCAGGCCATGAGCAGCACACCTCACTGATCCTGGGGGGACAGGCCGGAGGGATCATTCCCATGGAAAAGGCAGCAGTCGATTTTCTAAAGAAAAGGAAAAATAAAGTTATGTTTGAGCTTTCTGTGTAATATTCGGCTCCTATCCTCGACAACGTTTTGGAATTACAAATAATGCAGAATTAATTAACTGCTCTTTCAGTAGGTGGAAAGTCACTGTCAAGAAAAAACCACAGCCACTAAAACGTTCCTGTAAGGAATGTGGCTGCTTTGTCCATCGTTTAGCATTAGGGTGACTCCTTGGAGAACATTTAGATGCAAAAAATATATTGGTTTTCCACTTACATTCCAAGAATTTGTGACAGTGGGCTGCACTGACGTGCTGGAAGTCAGTATTGTACCAGGGGAAGTTACTGCTGGGAAGTTCACAATTTGGTTTCCCAGAAACTGGGCAGCAGCTTTAGACAGAAATACTGCAGTTTTAAATATATTTTTCAGAGCTAAGTGGCAAAATGAAGCTGCTGTTTCAGTCATTCTAACATTGACTACATGAAAAGATTATGGTTTCTCTATCCATTTCAGATTGAAAGCCTGCAATTAATCTTTGGAAACCTTTTATATCCATTATTTCTAAGTGGTGCAATGCTTTTGGCTATATTTAGGGCACTATATTTATGGCCATGTAAGGATCTATTTTGGGTGTATTGGTGGGGCATGTTGCTTTTGGCTATATTTAAACTGGAAGCATTTTGTCATGTGAAAGCATCAGAATATCTGATAACATAGCTGACAAGTAAAAATCCTGGACTAATACAGTAATTCTTGCATCACTCATTCCTTAATTAGTCTGGAATTTACTGCACAATTTGCCACTGTTTATTCAATTACTAAAATGCAGTTTATTAAAAATACTGGCTATGGGACACATTAAAAACAAATTATACAGATCAGCTTATCAGTTTCCACTATCACAAAAGGGCAATTACTTTAAAAACAAAATGACACAGGTGATGAAGAGTCATCCTTAAAGTTTCCCTGTTTTTTTAATAATAAAAGTATAGTTTTATGTACTCCTTCCAATTTCAAGCTCTAAAATAGAGCTGTCAATCCAATAACATAGCAAATACTGAAATTATGATGAGCCACATAGGACTGCACTTACCTCACAGTGATTTTTACACGTTCTGAACTAAGGTCTGTACTTCATGTTTTTCTTACCCAGAATCTTACACAGAGTTTTTTAACATAAGTTTAAAAAAAAAAACAGTTAAACTAAATTCAGAGCAACAAATGAGCAGGACTGCAACACTCTTTTATTACCTTCTGTGCAAGAAACGTCCATTTTATCTTCTATTCCATAGGTTCAGTCTGTCAAAAAAATAACTAAAATTAGCTATTTTACATTAGAGGAAAAAAAAATATCATTATGAGCACTTATGTTTGTACTCCAAACCACTGAGGTGTTTAGTTACATTATGTTAATTTTATCTTTAGTATAATACACTAAAAGAGAACACTATCAACTTCAACTCCAGTGTCAGTTTTTATGGTTTAAGAAATATTCTTTTATTATTTCACAAAGCTGATTTTTTGCCTTTTAGATGATCTTTCTTTCACTCTGGATAAATCTGCTCAGAGTCTGGTAAATAACTGTAATGCACCAAGCTAACTGTATAAATCCACCTCCTGGAATTTAGCAGAGTCCCATTTGGAAACCTCCCTGTCATATGGAGTGAAAGGACATTTACTAGTTAGAGTGGCCCAGGTTCTTTTGAAGTGTCACAAGATAACTGAAAAACAAAAATAGTAAAATTTAACTAGTGGACACTGTACAAAGTGTCAAGGATTTAAAGGATTTAATCAAGGATTCATTCAAAAAAAAAAATCAAGGATTTACTTTGCTGGCACACACACAGTGTGCTCAGTTTTGAAGATAACTCGTATCCCTGCCCTTTCCATAAATCCTTATCAGCAATATTTAATCTGCCATGGCACACCCTGTGCCTGCAGCCAGATAATGCCGCAGCTTTATCTGAAAGGCTGCAGATAATCTCGGAATCACCCCAGGAATGGCACGTGAAAGCATCAGAACTAACCCCGGCACGCTCTCTCAGCACAGTTTGCTGACAGGACCGTTAAGCAGCACATTAAGAACATTTAAACAGCTTTTCTGCCGCTAAGCTGCAGAGACTTGGGCCAGCAGTGGAGAGGGGACGATGCTGTGAGCACAGCCCAGGCAGCTGCGTGGTGCCAGCTCTGGAATGGCTCTCCAGGAGCTGAGCACGACTTGCAAAGCAGGAGCACTAACTGATCCAAGGGTGAAAGCAGGCAGACATCCAGTAAAAAGCCAAGCCCACGTTAGAGATCACACAAAGACTGATCAGAGAGATTTGGTGCCCACAGCAAAGTTATGTTCTGAAAACGTGACACAGACACTACAGCTATTTGACTTCACTGGTCCACGTTCATTTTATCTTGCCACGAGACTTCCTTCCTACTGTCTTCTTTGGCTGGAACAAAAGAAACCGATTTTCCTTTTTAAGCAATTAATTTTCGTTTGAACAAAAGGAAGAAGTCAAAATGCTTTGTTTGCATGTGGTAGATTCTCCTGTGTACTCTTAACCTGTGTGCCTCCCACACGGAGAAGCTGTGGCTGCCCCATCCCTGGAAGTGTTCCAGGCCAGGTTGGAGGGGTCTTGGAGCAACCTGGTCTAGTGGAAGGTGTCCCTGCCCATGGAAGGGATGAGCTTTAAGGTCCCTTCCAACCCAAACCATCCTGTGATTCTATGATTCCATGATGTTCACAGGGCTGGGGGAGGGTGCCACAAGATCCTGCAGTTTGAGAGCTCCATGACAAGGATTTTGCTTTTTCAACTGCAATTGCACAGGTCAGGCCCCTCAGGGAGCTGACGACAATTAACAGCATTTGAAGGTACCAACTTATGAATTCTCAGTAAAATCTGAAGTTCAATAGCTCACTTGATTATTAACCCAACACAGCATCCCTATCCATGGCTGAACTGGTTTTGTTTATGTCTGATAACATCACCATTTTTTTTTAAAGTTTCTCAGTACTTATAACTCTGCTCTCTCTGTATTATACTTGCTTTAAACTTTTCCATGCAAGGCAACAAAAGATAAAAGCTCCTCTGCAAATAACACACTTTTCAGTTTGGTCTACAAAAGAAACTCCAACTTTCCTGGAGTTTCACAGCAAAAATTCAGGCAGCTCAGGTTGACAAGCATCACACTGGAGTTACACATGGACTCAAGAGAGGCTTGGAACTGGAGATTCCACCTCATGGACAAGCTGTTCTCTTGTCATCACTCGGAAAAATCAGGTTCATGAAGAAGTGGTTTTATAAAGACTGTTTGCACACTGATTTGCTGCTACAAATGAGGAAATTAATTCAATACTGTACCTGTGGCACTTCTTTAAGGAAGTCAGGAAGCTGAAATTCACCTTTATAGACCTGGAAAAACAAACAAAAAATACACTACTCAAAGCCCTCATTCACTACTGTTTGAAATGTTAAAGAGCTTGTTAAGGGAAGGAAAAAAGAACAAAAGGAAAAAAGATTCCTTTGTGTTATTAGCATCCAGTAAAGCTAGAACAGATCTACTTAAACTGAGAACAATGTCTTTGTAAAAGCAAGTTTCATTCCCAAGGCTTGGTTCTCCAAAGTGGTTCCACAGCTGCTCTCTCAGTTCCAGGCTTGGTCTGTACTCAACACTCTGACCCTGTTTGCATTAAAATGGTAAAAATATGCAACTCAAATAATATTCAAGTTATTTCAAGCAAGTTTGAAATCTAACCTAAGTCCAGTGTAATCCATGCACTAAGCTTTCAGAAAAAGATTTTCAACAGGATGATTAAAAACACTAGGAGTGACTTGCTACAGCACATACTGCAGCCTCATTACCAGCCTGACTGCATGGGAATTATCAAGATTTCCAATTTTTTAGAGCATAATATTAATTCTGAAACAACACTGTTTGGAGAAAGAGCAAGTAATAAATATCCTCCAACACACCAACAACCACAGCAAACAAGCCTTTCCACTGTCTGACCAATTAGGAAATAAATTGGCAATGTATCATCTTCTCTCCAGAGGATAATTCTTAAAAGCTCTTTGCTTCTGAGATTAAATATTCCAAAGGGGGAAAGAAAGTATTCTGGTTTTGTTTGGTTTTCTTTTGTTGTTTTGTTCTAGTTTTTTCCCCTAAAAAAAAAAAGTACACTTGAAAGTTTTACCATTCTTTCTACTGAACCATAAAGAGTAAATCATCCCAATGTCCTAAGTTCTTTGTTGTCTTGTGTAATCATTTAAAAATAAAATAAAAAAAAAATTTTACAAAAGGCACAAACCTACGTAGAAAAATTGTATAAAAATGGAAAATGGGCCCTAAAATGGAAATGGGGCTCCTCCAAAGCCCCGCTCAGAGCTGCACTCCCTGGTTTGCGTCAAAGGAAGAAGACTCAGGAAGGCAGGGGATGCTTATTAACAATATCCCTTTTCCCTGCTTCCCTACGAAGGGGTGACCAGAATACCAAGCCAGCCCGGTTTTGTCAATATGCTGCAGTGGCCCGGCGGTGCAGCTGAGTCAGCTCGGAATTTCCTGCCCAGCGCCTCAGCCCTGAAAGCATCGGACCCTGTGACTCACGTGGGGCGGACTCAGGACTGGCAGCTCTCATCACTCCTCAGCCCTGGGCTAAACAGACCCAAAGGAGGCTTCACTAAGCCCCAACATGCATTGTGGAACTCTCCTCCTTCCAGTATTCCGTGTTTTAGTTAAAATAGAAAAGCAAAAGGCACAGCTCTCATTTGTATTCAGCCAGGGGCTGCTGTGATTCCCATGGAAACCTTAATGAAAGTCACCCTGGTCGGAAATCCAGCGTGTGGCTACTGGAGCCTTCTTATACCATAAATATTTATAAATGAAGGAGAGGATTTCACATTTGCAGCTTTTAACCAAGCCATTAAAATGCAGGCTGTGTCCCAGAGAGCAGGAATGGAAGTTACAAATGAACAATAGTATCACATCAAAAAATGCTACAGAATAACAGGCAGGAGTCTTCACCTTTTCTGGCAAAGCGCTGCAGTCATCAGCTGGGAATTCTCAAAACCAGTTAATACTGATGAGATGATGGTACCTTGTGACTGATTCAGAACCACAGTGGCCAAAGCCACATCTGTCTCTCTAGAAGCCTCCTCCTTTTCCCTTCTCCTGCAATTGTGACTCAGTTTAATTTTTACATTCTAGCTATATATGTGTATCTATCT